TGCTGAACCTGTTGAAAAGTGTGTGACACCTGATTCTAGTTCTTTGTCAGCATGTGAAACTGGGCAGGATGAAGACATAGGTCATGATTTGGGGTCGGTATCCATCAATGATGTAGAGAGACAACCTCTGCCAGAGCAGTTAAGCCTGAAAGAGGAAGTTGATGAAGCTGAGAGGGAAACCAAACCATTTAACGGGACAGGAACGACTGTGGAAATTGCAGATAAGGTTTTGGGGATCAGATCTTGTGCGAAGAGCCTTGAATGCGAAGTGAGTTTTTTCTGTTTGTTATGAATTGGCCACGAAATGTGCTGGACATAGTGATTAGGGGGTTTTGCAGGGTTTTGCCGTAGCGGCTGCAAATCTGGATCCACCTGCGGGAAGTAAAACTTTGCACTCAGATGGACCCTTCCAAAGTGCCTTGCCAGAAGAACTTCAGGTTTTTAATCTATCTCATGGCAGTTGGCTTTGGGTTTCATTCTTGTGTAGGATTTCTGGCACTTTTGATGGTGGTAATCCATAATATTTTAGTAGATTAACCTTGAAGCAGTTTTGTTAGAACCAAAGCTCCTCTGCATCGCATATTCTAGGGTGACCTTGTTACAAGTTGTCGTAATCGAGAAACATATATGATTGTGCTAAAGGTGAAAACTAAATGGCGATTGATATCTAAAGCATACGATCCTTTCACTACTTAGGTGGTTAAGTTTCACTATCTTATTTCTTCTGCAAGTCTAACAACTTGCAAAATGTCCATAGTTGTATTTGCTCTTCAGAAGTTGGTTTGTTTTTATTTGGTGGTGGTTTCTGCATACTTCCTAACAAGTGCATGTATATGGTTGGCAGGTGCTGCACCTCCATGCTTGCTGTGTATATCCAGCAACCCCGTTTAAAAATTAGCATAATATTTTTGCTTCCGAGACTAGATTCTCTCCTCTATTCTTAGTTCTGACAATGGCTTGATGCTGACTTCTCTTTTCGCTTGTAATTCGCTTTGCCATAGCCAAACTCGGTGCTGAGTGAGATTGGGAAGTCGGAAGACAGAGCTAGGTCAGAATCTTTGCAGAAGCCACTGATAAGGCATGTGTTTTACAACCCTTCACTGATTCATGCAAAAACATGATCACTTTATCCGTCTTGTTGTCTTTTCCTTCCATCTTTCATACAGCATGTTGAGCTTGAAGTCGATGGTGTAACGTCCAAAAGGCAATTGAAAAGAGAACCAATCAGAAAAATGAAGGAAACCCAAAAACAAAAAAGTGGATTCAGAACCTCCTCAGCGGTTGCCTGCGAGTGGATTGGAAGCCGTTGGTAAGTGCACCTTATTCTGGTAACCTAAAAAAAGAAAAAGGAAAAAAAGACGATTTTGAGGAAAAAACAAAAAAAAAAGGATAAAAGAGAAAATGATATTAAAAAAAAGGAGAAGAGTAGAGAATATAACAACGTTTGATGAGTTATATTTTGTTCTGAGACTTCTTTGTGAGTGCTGACTTTGGGGGATGCATAAGCTTCGGAAGAGTTTGGGAAGCAAAGGCCATGTCAGTGTGGTTCAATGCTTTGTGGTTTGAGAAGATCACTTGGAGAAGGGGAGTTGAATGAACATAATTGTGGGTTGGTGCTTTTTCGGATATCATAAATTTGTAAAATCTATTATGCTTTAGATTTTCTGATCTCTGGGATCTGTTTGTGGAACTTGTGTGCGTGTTGGGTTTGTTTTCCAGCTTTTTGTACATAGAAGAAGAAAACAGAAAGCCTCTTCCCCCTCTCCATCTCCTTTTCTTGTCTTTCGCAAAGAAATTGGATGACTAGTAGTTGTGGTAAACCTAATCACTGTCTCACGTTCTCACTTGGAAGGGAGACGCGAGAGATCGTTTTTGAGTTCCAACGGGAAAGGAGAGATTGCACTCTGCGTCCGAGCAGAGCCAATGCGGTCTGGAAAGAAACCAAGGTTCGGTTTCTGGCATCAGATTCGTGAAATGTGTCACCTTTTTTCGGATACAAGCGAAATATCCAGACCCCACCACTTCTGAGCGTAGCAAGTTCTAATTAACGCATTCGTGGTGGTTGTCTGCCTATTCATTTGTTGTGTTATTATGAATACGTGATTGTTTCTGTTAAAATCTATTTCGTTACATGTTTGACGTTTGTCATCGTCACATTATCATTAAAGGCAATATGTATGTGTATACATATTTATAAAAAAAAAAAAAAACTCTATTGAAACATGATTGAATCAATCACCAAACTCCGAGTAACGTGTCGGGGAAAATAATAAAACGCACAAAATACAAAAAGACTGAATGTAATGCAAATTGGATAACTTTGGTGAACGAATAAATATCCTGTTTTCTTTCTTCTTCTGTTTTTCCTCTGAAAGAGTAGCAGCGATCTGATGTTTGTGGATTGTGGATTCAGGAAGGGTAAAAACCCATAGCATGTTTGACATTTGCAAGAGTGGCTTCTGCTATCTCCGAAGCTCTCTCGGCGCCTTCCGACAACACTTTGTCCATATACGCTTCGTCCCCTATTATCTCTTTGTACCGAACCTGCACCACCATTCCCCCATTCACCGACAATCAAACAACACATATACACGCTTTCGATTAATGAGATCATAAAACTGGTTGGCATTGCAGATTTCCATCTCAAGTTTCTCCCTTTTCAGTACCGACCAAAAGCTAATCCCTTTTCTCTATGAAGAGTTCAGAGGGAACACCAAGAATTCAGTTATGTTCTGAGGTTATGTGTAACAGCGATGCATGTATTCGTAATCCAACGCAAGGACACAGAGGAATCAAAGAAGGCGGACCTGGATAGGTTGCAAGTGGTCGATCAAAGCATCGGCAAGCAGGGGCTTAAATGCTCCCCAGTTCATATCTCGGCA